AATTCCCTGTGCACTGCTCGGATCAATACCTGATGAAAGCCGGAAGGCACAACGACCGAAACAAACAACAAAGATGAAGACAATAGTCTGAATGTAAATAGTGTAAATAATAACTCCACACCCCAGAAATTCTGACAGAAATTTGCCATTTCTATCCAGGGAAAACGCTGTATTCACGAATGAACTGTTATTGTCGGTTGAAACGGATTTTTTTTTGTTTCAAGGAATTAGATTTTTCAAGTCCACTGTTTTCGGTCTTTCTAGTATCGATGGAAGTTTCCTTCCAAACTTTGTTTATGGTGGCATGGGAAGCCAATATTTTAATTAAATCATTATTTTCCCTTCTTGTCATGTGGGACTCAATTTTGTCGTTGTTGCTGTTGGAAGCGTTCAAATGTTTTTTGTTTTTTGAGTTTTTTTTGTGATTCTGTAGCACCAGTCTATAGGATATGATGAAGGATTATTTCCTTTAGAACCTAGTGGATTCATTCGATGAAACCATTTTAATCATTGATTTGATAAGACGTTTGTATATAGACATTTTTGAAGGAGCTGGCCGCCATGCATGACGTCCATACGAGAGTCTCGATCCGACGAGACTTTGGTTGAGTAATTCTGGCAGAAATGACTGAAAAAAAAATAACAAGAGAAAAAAAAAAACAAAAACGTACCAAATATACAACTTATAACAATTAAAGAAAGAAAATGCCAAATACTCACGTTGGTAACTTCATATTTGTAATGAATCCCATCGTGGAACTTATTTCGGAGCTAATCCTTTCCAGCGAAATTTCTTTAAGTCGTTTATGCCATTGTCGGAGTTTCCTTTTTTTCAGTCGATCGAAAATCGTGGCTTTTATTTTTCTATCAATTTTCTTTCTTTTTTTTTTTTTTTTTTTTTTTTAATGAATGAAATTACAAAAATATCCCAGTTTGTTTGTCATCGGGATATCAAATGTAATCTAGATGGATTGATTGTCGGAACCTACACGACCAGCCTGCCTACATCGAATAGACGTTTGTTTGTTTGTACCGAAGAGGTGTGACTCTGCCTGATTATTGATTAAGCCTTAATCCCATTGTGAGATAATATTTAAATCTTTCGCCGACTTTTCACTGGGTTGTTGACAAGGTATTCACTTCGTATGAATGGTACAAATTACGAGGCTTTCATTGAATTTGACTTGCTAATGACTATAAATCTGCTTATGGTAATCAAAACTATTAACAGAAAATAGTCTACCATAGTGTTTTTTTTAATTATCTTATATTTTAGAATAAACAATAAATAAGCGATTAAAATAAATAAAACATTATTTTTAAAAAAAAAAATATTTTCACCTCAGGCAAGGTGATAATGCCACTAAGACGCAAGTTAGGTACCTCCACCAATTCGCTGACAAAGAGCATGCTATGATGAAAAAAAAGCTTGATAAAAAAACTTTTATCGTCAAAATATTTGTTATTATTAAAAGGAAAGACAAAAGTATTTTTTGCCTTTATGGGATGTTCGAAATTTTGGCTAAAATTTTTCTTTTTCTTGCGTCAGCAGAGGGGGGAGAAGATTAGTATAGGAAATTTTAGCATTTTTTCGTTAAAAAATACATTAATTTGGAAATTCATGCAATTAATTGTTGGATTTTAATTATATTTTCAGGACTTATTCACAAATGAATGAATTTGTTTTCTTATTTTTTAGAAAATCTTGGTAAGATATTTTTTTACATCTGTTACCCTTAAACTTAATTTTATGAAATTTTACTGCCTTCATATTTGTGATAATTTAAATCGGAAATCATGGGAGAATTTCAAACATAACTTTGTTTTTATCAAACATAAACACCATTTATTGAAAATCTGCTCTGAACCGTAAAATAAAAAAAATGCAATAAAACTGTGACATTATTTAATTAGAAAATCTTTTAATTGCTTTTATAAATAAGATATATTAAGGTCACTATTGCTTAAGAAAAAAAATCGATAATAAACTTTTACAAGAATTGTTTTAATCTTTGAAAAAATTAAGTTAATAATTTAAGTTTCAAATTAAAAAAAAATCTATTAATTTCACAGTTTTAGATATTATTAGTAAGTAAAAATTATATTTACTAATAATAAATGGAAAAGCTTAGTACAAATCATTAAACACCAACATTACGGTTGCTAATATCTAGTTACCTGATTTCTTGGTCCATCTCTCTCTCTCTCAATATATATATATATATATATATATATATATATATATATATATATATATATATATTTAAATTTACAGAGAATTAATATTATAAATTGATTTAAAATTGTTTTTTTTACGTCAGTTCTAACCATGTTTCAAAAAAATTTTTCCATTTTGAAACATGGTTAAAAAAAAAAAAAAAAAAATAATTTTACTTTCAATTAATTATAATAAATATATATTTCTCGGATGAGGTATTATGAGCATTTATATTATTCGTAATCATTGTCCTCATCTTTGTCGCCATATTTATTACAACGTTTCGGCCACAAAATCTCCTGAGCCGACCAAGCATAGAAATGAATACAATATAGGAACCAGTAATAAGGAGTACCAGAGAAAAGCGACAATAACAACAAAAATTGCAATATGAGCTCTGGTAAAAACATGTAATGATAGCAAAAATTGCAATATGAGCAATAAATGGTTGCTGAAGGATTTAGGTTTATAATACCCAGAAATTCATACACATGGCACAGTGGATAAAGGCGTTAGTTATATCCAGTGACAGGACCCAAAGAGTGTGAGTTCAATACCCGGCTAAGGTAGTGGAGAACTCTCAGAGGGAAATTAACAGGCGATAACTGACATTCATTAAACATGGCACTAGAAAAGTCTACCCCAGTGAGCGAAATAAGGGGTTCAGTTCGACATTCCAGCCACCTGAAGAAGGATGGAGCGTACAACGGCCGAAACGTAATAAATATGGCGACGAAGATGATGACAAAAGTCCGAATAATGTAAATAATATATATTTTATATATTCATATATATGTAGACTAAGTAATTCATCGAGTCTAAAAGAAACCTCAACAGAATGCAGTCCTATATTTGGGAATCATCAGCCGTGCGCATCCACTACCGTTACGATACGACGCAAGCGTAATACCAACTTTACCAACGGATCTCGCTGACGAAGAGGTGACGACTTAGACTCGATATAGCATCCAAGTTTCCCTTACCCATAGGACTGTGCCCTCCCCACGGAATTTTGTACCACTGAGACCAATCTTATCTATGGTGGGATCCGTACAACATGAGTTGGCCAAATCGTTGGCTGAACTGCTCCAGCCGGTATGTAATGTCTTCTCAGACGCCTTCTGTTTTTCAAATTTCATTAGAAATTTAGATATTGAGTCTGAAAACAAACTGATGTTATTTTTTGACATGGTCAGTTTGTATACTAATGTACTTCTTCATGAGACCATTAATATATGTGCTGACGCTTTTTATAGAAGTAATTTAGGTCCGGCTAGCATTCCTGAAAATCCGTTTTTAGAATGCATGCGTCTGGCGATTGAAGATGATGAATTCAGTTTTAATGATATTATGTATGCCCAGACGGACGGTGTTGCAATGGGTAGTCATTTGGGCCCTATATTGGGTTATCATGAGCAAGTTTTATTTGACAATGTTCATAAACCCTACGTTTACATGAGGTACGTTGACAACACTTTTTCAATTTTTGATTCCACTAGTGATGCCGCTGATTTTTTTTTTTTTTTTTTTCGCGGAACCCAATTCTCTCCATCCATTCCTCTAGTCTACTATGGAGGTTAAAAGCAATGGGATATTACACTTTCTAGATGTTCTCGTTGAACGCAAGGATGTTTTGTTATACCAGCGTCTCCTGCAAACCCACATTAACAGGCTTATACACAAGTTGGAACCCAAGGCTCGAAAAATTGGTTTAATTTCTACCCTGGTTCATCGTGCTTTGATGACCTGTTCCCCTTGTTTGTTAGACGGAGAACTTGCTATTATCCAAAAAAGAATTTTTGAAAGCAATGGATATCCTATCAGTATCACCAGACGTTTTAATGAACCAACAGTTTTGGGACCTAGTCGGTACCCGATTTATTATTTTGGCTTTGCAGAAAGTCTCAGCTACCTTCTGACAGAATTTTAGCTTGTATTGTTACATGCTACAATGCTGATAAGTTGCGTACTATATTCCAAACAAAATCCGCGTTCCCTTCCCAGTGGCTTAGCTAGAGTAAACGTCACCCGGGGCGGTCCGCTCAAATGTCACCCCAATGACCCCGATTCACCCCTTGCTGAATGGTTAGCTGTAGCTAAATTTTCATACATGCTCTACCTCTACTTTATTCTACTGACCGGTACGTTACTGTTTACATGTATGATCCAAGACAAAATCCAATACCACAAAATAATCAGTTCAAATCAAAAATTTTTTAAAATGCAACTGTTCACTTTCAGAACAACTAAATACAAAACACGGCAATACACAAAAGAATGACATTCGATACTATGGTCTTAGAATGAATGTTTTCTTGTTTTCATTGTGGCAAACTGGTCAATGACATCGTCAAAATCTGTTTGTCTTGTAAGCTCGTTTTCAATGGACAGCACAGCCAGATCCGACAGTCTCATGGTTGACGTAATTTTCTGTTGCTAATTTTCCGGTGCATCATTTTCTGGGTACCATTTAATTATCAATGATGTTTGAAAGTATTTTTCTTGACAAAAATGTTCTATTTAATTTTTTTCTTACAGGGGGACAAAACAAAATTCTAAAGCACTTCGCTGTCTTTCGCAAGAATGCATTCACAGATAATAAAGAAAAGGAAAACGTGGAGAGCCATGACTAAAAGGAATGGCACCGATTGTTTTAAAATATTTAAAAGACTGCAAAAATATCTTAGCTTTTTCCTAAAACGTTTAGAGTTGTTTCCACACGGAAGAAATTACTTTAACACCAAAATATCGTGATTTGTTTGAAAAGTAGCGATTAACATTTATGTATCATGTTAATCGATTACTGACTTCCTTTTTCTTTCTCTACAATATATTCCTTCCTTTATTTTTTATCGTATCAATTTCGTTCGTTCTTTCTCCCGCCCTGTCGTTCGTTCGTTCGTTCGTTCTTTCTCCCGCCCTGTCGTTCGTTCGTTCGTTCGTTCTTTCTCCCGCCCTGTCGTTCGTTCGTTCGTTCGTTCTTTCTCCCGCCCGGTCGTTCGTTCTTTGTTCCGCCCTGTCGTTCGTTCGTTGTTCCGCCCTGTCGTTCGTTCGTTGTTCCGCCCTGTCGTTCGTTCGTTGTTCCGGCCTGTCGTTCGTTCGTTGTTCCGCCCTGTCGTTCGTTCTTTCTTTCTTTCTTCCTTCCGCCCTGACGTTCGTTCGTTCTTTCTTCCTTCCGCCCTGTCGTTCGTTCGTTCTTTTTTTGTTCCGACCTGAAGTTCGTTCGTTCGTTCTTTCTTTCTTCCTTCCGCCCTGACGTTCGTTCGTTCTTTCTTTCTTTCTTCCTTCCGCCCTGACGTTCGTTCGTTCTTTCTTTCTTTCTTCCTTCCGCCCTGACGTTCGTTCGTTCTTTCTTTCTTTCTTCCTTCCGCCCTGACGTTCGTTCGTTCTTTCTTTCTTTCTTTCTTCCGCCCTGACGTTCGTTCGTTCTTTCTTCCTTCCGCCCTGACGTTCGTTCGTTCTTCCTTCCTTCCGCCCTGACGTTCGTTCGTTCTTTCTTTCTTACTTCCGCCCTGACGTTCGTCTTTTTTTTCTTCGTTCGTTTTTCCTTCCTTCCGCCCTGACGTTCGTTCGTTCTTCCTTCCTTCCGCCCTGACGTTCGTTCGTTTTTTTTTTTATTTGACGTTCGTTCGTTCTTCCTTCCTTCCGCCCTGAATTTTTCGTTCTTTCGGATTTTTCTTCCTTCCGCCCTGACGTTCGTTCGTTCTTCCGCCCTTACGTTTCGTTCTTTTCCTTTTTATAAAACGTTCGTTCGTTCTTCTTCTTCCTTCCTTTCTTCCTTATTGACGTTCGTTCGTTTTTTCCTTCCTTCCGCCCTAACGTTCGTTCTAAATTTTTTCTTTGAATTTATTAAATTTTTTCCCGCCCTGACGTTCGTTTAAATTCCTTTCGTTTTTTTTTTTTTCCTTCCGCCCTGACGTTCGTTCGTTCTTTCTTTCTTTCTGAAAAATTTCTTCCTTCCTTCCGCCCTGACGTTTTTCGTTCGTTCTTTTTTTCTTTTTTTCTTCCTTCCGCCCTGACGTTCGTTTCGTTCTTTCTTCCTTCCTATTTCCGCCCCGACGTTTTTTTTTTTATTCCGCCCTGACTTTTCTTTCTTCCTTTCCTTCCGCCCTGACGTTCGAAAAAAATTTCTTTCAAAATTGACGTTCGTTCGTTCCGCCCTGACGTTCTTTATTTTTTTTTTTCTTCCTTCCGCCCTGACGTTCGTTTCTTTCTTTCTTTCTTTCTTTCTTCGCCCTACGTTTTTCTTTTTTCTTTCTTTTCTTCCTTCCGCCCTGACGTTCTTTCTGAATTTCTTTCTTTCTTTCTTCCGCCCTTTCGTTCTTTCTTTCGCCCCCTGACGTTTTCTTTTTTTCTTTCTTCCTTCAAACCCAACTTTCTTTTTTCTTTCTTTCTTCCTTCCGCCCTGACGTTTTTCATTTTTTTTAATTTTTCTTCCTTCCGCCCTTTTTTCTTTCTTTCTTTCTTTTTTTCTTCCTTCCGCCCTGACGTTCTTTTTTCTTTAAAAATTTTTTCCGCCTTGACGTTCTTTCGTTTTTTTCTTTCTTCCTTCCGCCCTGACGTTTTTCGTTTTTTCTTTCTTTCAGAACTTCAATTTTTCTCTTCCAAAAAACGTATTTTTCTAAATATTTCTGTTTTTTTTTTCTTTTAAAATTTTTTTCAATTTATTTCCGCTTTGATTTTCGTTCGTTTTTTTTTTTTTTGATTTTCCTTCATTTTCATCTTCTTTACCGTTTTTGTTCGTTTTTTAATTCGACATTTAAGAATTTTATATATTATATATATATATTTTAAATTTATATAAATTTTATTATTAAAATAGTCGGATTTTCACAAAACTCAATTTCATTCAAGACATATCATAATTCATTTTCATATTTTTATATTGATTTAATATTCAAATTTATAAACAATTCACATAAATTATTAATCTCAATTCAATTTTTTTTAAGTCATTTTTTTAATTAAAATTTGAAAAATTAATTTTTTTTAATTTTTATTTTGTTTTTTTCTGTCACATTTCATTTGTTTTTTAAATTTAGATTATCATGATTTTGTAGCATGTTAAATTTAAAATTCTAAAATTTAAAAAATGGACAAAACATTAAATAAGGAATCATATTTTTTTTTTTTTTACATAAAAATTTTCAGCAGTGTCACTTCAAAAGGATATGAATCCTATTTACTGACCTCTTCTTGTCAGCTTTTATTCATTTTAAATAATTTGTTCATCAATGATTTTTTTTTAGAATGAAAATTAAATTTCTCCATGAAGAAATTAACCTGGCCCAAGGAGATTTTAGGATTAATTAAAAACTCGAAACACGTAAGTTCAATCAATAAATTGGAAAAATTTATATTTGAAAATGTCTACGAAAAAAAATTATTTATTAAAATTAAAAATATTTCTTTTTTTCTCCATATATTTTTTTTATTTATTTGGTTTTGAAGATGAAAAAAACAGAATTCCTTTAAAAATTTTTGTAAATTTGAAATTTTATCTTGCTGATGAACTTGTTAAAACAAAATTTTGCGGTTTTTGGAAGGAAATTAAAGAAAAAATGGGGTTTTTATTTGATACTGAATAAAAATGTAGTAATGTGACAAAGGCAAATAATTTTTAAGCAACATATTTTTAAAATAATCATGTCATCAAATCAGAATATTATATATATAAAATATCTCAATATTGTGTTTTATACCTGGGGAGCATTTTAAAATCTGATTTATCAATACTGAAATATATGACAGGGATAAATATAATATATAGTTTATACAATCATATAAAACATTAAAAATAAATAAATTTAAAAGAATAAATACATAAACATAAATGAATTCAAATATGTATTAAAATAAAAGAATTTAAAATATTATTTTTAAAATATATATATCCGTTATTAAATAAATTTAAAAATGATTATTTAAAATAATATTTGTTGTATTTTATTAAAATCTGTTTTTTTACGTGAATTGAAAATTTTGTAGAAATAAAAAATAAGATTATCTTCGTAAATTTTCGTTTATATAATGAATATATATATATGTGAATATAATAATTTAGAAATTTTTTTTAATATATATTTAAAAAAAATTTATAGATTTTTGAAATCACGGGCAAAAAAAAAAAACAAACGTAAAAAATATTTTAATGGGATATGTATATTTAACTTAATAGTGTTTCAATATTTTAAGATGAACTATTAAAAAATTTTTTATCATATACTAAATAAAAAAAATTAATCAATTTAAATTATAATTTGACAATGGAAGGAAATTTTTCTATCTATATATTCGGTTTTTATAAATATATCTGCTTTTTTTTAATTATATATAAAATATAAATATCAGAGTGGAAGAGGTCCGTTTTTTTTTTTTAGATATATTCATATTTTTAAATAAAAATGTATAAAAAATTTATTTGATTATATATAATTTTTTTAATTAAATGTTTCAAAAAGGAAATTTTTATTTTGGCTGAGAAATGAAAATTTTTATTATTATATAATATATATATAATAAAATTTAAATACAAATATTAAATATTTTTTATAATTATAAAAAAAAAAAAACAAAAATCATTTTAAATTCTAATTAAAAAAAATGTTTAAATTTTTTGAAATTATTACCAAGTCGGAATTCGAAATAGAAGAAAAATATTTCGTTCGCAATTATTATATGATCTCGATATTTATATATATATAAATGTTTATTTTTTTAAATGTCTTTTTTATTTGAATTTTTATTTTCTAGTTAAAACAATTAAATCCTGAAAATTCATTGTAAATAAAACTTTTTTAATTTTGAAATAAATTTATGTGGATATTTTCTTTTTAAAAATATATATTATTTTAAAAATTTTTTTTTTTATATGAATGTTCTTTTTTTTCGATATAATTATTTTTTGATTTGCCTATTTAAATATTATAATGAAAAGGATTAAATATATTATATAATAATAAAAGAAAAAAATATCGTTGTGAATTTAAAAATGTAAGTAATTGTTTTTCGTTATAAATATTTATAAATTTTTACGAAAGGTTACGGGCATATTTTTTCTACGGGCTCAAAAAATAATAAAAAATATAAAAATTAAACCGCCCTAATGTCAACATTTGAGAATTTATATATAAATATCGTATTGGAATAATCTTTTATGACGAAATAAATAATGAAAGGATATTCAAACAAAAACTAAAAAAAAAATTATTCCGAAGAACAGAATCTCGTGGGAAATATTTTTAAATAAAAATATTTTTTTTTGAGAAATAAATTTTAAATATTTTTTATATATGATAGATACGGGCTATATCGTTTTTTATATGATAAATATAATATTGTATAAAACATGCAATTTATTCAAAATATAACACATTTTGGCAAATGGAGAAATATAGGATGATCTTTTAAAAACACGGATGAACGAATCCTTTAAAAAAGAGAGCAAGAAAGAGAATTTTTAAAGAGAGGTTCCGCGGGAAGTTTTATGTAAAAGAAAATGAACGGGGAAAAAACCTGATATTCAGTTTTATTACCGAGTCAGGAAAATATTTTTGGGCTGAAATGGAAATAAAAAATTAGGAAAGAAAAAGAATTTTTGAATTTTTGGATAAAATGACTTTTATGTCGCTGAGCAAGGAATGAAACCCGAAAATAAAAAAAAAATTTATAGACATTGAATCATGATCATTTAATTTTTTTTTATATCGACGGTCGAACTCTCTGCTTTTGACAAGAAAAAAACCCGGAAAAGGTTCCGCCGAAGGGCAGAATCTCGTTCATTTGAATGACCTACCCTGATCGTTTTTACGAGTCATATATTTAATATTTTTGGCTGAGCCTACGGGCTCAGGAAACCCACGATTGAAAAAATGACTTATTTTGTCGCATTTTTTGGTATGATCGTGGGAATTAAAATAAGATACTGAATCAAGCCGATCTTTTCGGTTTGATGGTCGAATTTTTTTTTCAGCAGAAAAGGAACCCGGACGAGGTTCCGCCGAAGGGCAGAATCTCGTTCGGGGTGAATGTTACTGAATTGATCTCGTTTTTACGAGTTATAGGAAAATATATTTTTTTAATTTTTGAATATACGGGTTCAGGAAACCCATAATAAAAAATGACCTTGTGTAAAAATGCAATTCAACCCTCATATCTGTTCTTTGATAAAAAAGAAACTGAATCAAGCCGAATTTTTTCGACTTGACGGTCGAACTCTCTGCTTTTTGATTAAGAAAGGAACCCGGACGAGGTTCC